TCAAATATTCCATGAATACCACACGGCAAAGATTTCCATGGCTAAACGTAACGCGACACTTATGGTACTTGAGAATTATTGGGTGTGTGCGAGAGTTCTGTCGGTTTAAAGTTTGGGAATTTTTTTTTTTTATTAGGCAACGACTAAACGAAACGTTTCAATTTTTTCAGAGGATGTAAATGTAACTTTCAGCCTTTTTCCCCGATTTTTGAAAAGTAAAAATGTTACAAAATGGAGGAGTTATTGTATACTGGGTGAGTCAATAGGAACCAACAAAGAAAATAATTCGTTATCTCTAGAAGAGGTGCATCTCTTGAGATTTCAAGGTGACCTCAATCTGTTTCATGATCAATGCATCTTTTTTTTAATGCTATATTATAACAGATGAAAAGACGAATTCAATGATTTATACTAACAGTAAGTTGAGCTACAGTTGACCTTGAACCTCAAACCGAGATAAAATATTTTGTATAAATTTATCTGATGCACCCCTTCTAATGCTACATAATTCATTTGAACCGTGTTTTGATACAAGCAAGAGATTACGAGCTATTTTAGATATTAGTTCTTATTCACTCACCCTGTATACAGAGGAGTTTGTTTCGTAAGTTTTTGCAATTTCCATTACAGTTTGATGACTATTTGATTAGGTCAAGATTCATGGTTGGTTTTCAAGCGACAGGTCCCCAAAATCAAAGCGAATAAATATAATTGACGAATTCTTTCTTTAATGATTTAATATTATTAATTAACAGAAAAAATTGCCTTAGATATAACAGTGTAATATCTTTCAAGGCGTCGTATTAATAAAGATGTTTGCAACCTCGACGTTGAATTAAGATAAATTTTAGGTGCAGTAGCTTAAATAATTAAGTCTGTTCGATTTTCAAAATCTTACACGCTTCGGGTTTCAGTAAACTTATAATATTTCGTACGAAAGAACGAAAATTATCAAAATGTCTTCTTCTCCTAATGCTTGACAAATATTTCCGTAGGCTTGAATCGCTTTGTTATCTTCTTTAAATACGTATAAGTCTTCATTACAATTTCTGACACGAAACAACAGAAACTCGCCACTCCTTGACTCGTTATTAAAACAGGTTATTCGAAGTTACCGTATAGAACTATTGTAACTTTCTGCTCGTTACAATTCATTTACGAAAACAAAGCTATTATCAATGTAACACAGAAACGGACAAAACTTTCGCACTCACTTAACACTTATTTGACCATACTCGTGGTTTTATACTCGAAACACAGTTAATTTCTCTTTCTGTTTATCACGCACTGTCTCCCCTTTTGTCACTCGAGAGCAGATTTCTAAAGCTTTAACGCGAATTTCATTCGTCGACTGATCCTGTTTCCGTGACACAATCTGCGTCACGGACCCTTTGAAACTGCACACGTGCACGCGCGTTATGCATTCAGTATGCAAATCGAGGTGGTCGTGCATGATCGATCTTCCGCCGCGTTTTATTTGCCTTCGAGAGGCGGAGGAGGAGGAGACGAGCTAGTTGAGAAAGCTCTCGGCTATCTTGGCTTTTGTCGTGCCACTTGAGCGTTAAGTAGATAGTGCTCGCTTTGGGGAGCTTGTGAATTTTGGCGAGGGTATAAGGTACATGTTGGAGAGGCATGATTGATGGTTAAAGGTATTTGTGGCTTATGTAGAGTATTTTGGTGTTTGTTAAATTCTTTGAAATTTCGAAAATTCGAAGATTACTGTGTTCGGATTATTATTTCGATTAATTCTATTTTAGCATCCTGATTCTTCCTGTTCTTCTTACTTTCTTTTTCTCTCCTCCACTTTTAATATACAGGGTTCTCTTGTAAATGGAAAGTATCGAGTAAAAATGAAAGAGGAAAAAGTTTTACGATGTTTTATAACCAACACAATAGCATACGTCACCTTTTTATATTTGCAAGATTTTTCGAAAACCGAAGGTGACTTTTAATTTTTTAAATGAAACTGCCGAAACGAATTCAATCATTTGTGACAGAATGACCTACAAAATCATGTAAGGTCGAGAATGAGAGAAATAGTTTGAACAGTTTGAACTTGTATTTTATTCACGCTCGTAATAAATACGTATCATATCTACTTTTTCTTCTGTCACACAATGGGGCATCACGATAAGATACTAGACACTAAGTTTGTAAATCGAATACTTTACTCATTATTTTAAAATCCGAAATTGTAACAAGGCAGATGTTCCTTACTGTTTCGTTTGAGCATACTGAATCTACGCATTCGCAATAACGCATAGCTCTGTACTACTGAAAACGTAAGTAAATATTGCGGTAGTCAGTAGCAACACAATATCAGTCACATTGAACGCGTTATGTACATAGTCTTATCAATAAGACATATCTACTCGTAAATACAATATTACGAAATGTTCAAACTATTTCTTTCATTCCTATCCTTGGAAATTTTGCAGGTTGTGTTACTGGTTGAATTCACCTTAATAGTTGCTTTCATACAACATACAAAAGCATATGGCATTTCATATAAAAAATTAAAGGTCACCTACGTTTTTCTAAAATTATTGTAAACGTAAAATATTGATATACACTACCGGCCAAAAGTTTGGAATCACTGAGCATTGCAACTTACACAAAAATTTCCAGAAAAAAGTCAGCGACTTTGAGAATTTTTTATCGTTCGAATCAATTGATATGAGATACATTGATAAAAGTAGACTTGAGATAAACTTCAAATCTATTGATGAAAAGTGGGAAGTGATTCCAAACTTTTGGCCGGTAGTGTATGTTATTGTATTTGTTATAAAATATCGTAAAACTTTTTCCTACTTACTATTTACGAAAAAACAGCTGGTTAGTGATAATGCTAACACCCTGTATATTCTCTTTCCTTCCTCTTCCATTTGTAACATTGTATATAATGTACTACACTGAATTTGTACCCGTAAATTAACAAATGAATAAATTATGAGTATTTTGAAGGTTTAGAATTTTATTATTGCATTAGTCTTTTCATGATAAGTGGTGTACAATTGCATAGTAGCGCCATAATAAAATAAATAATAAATAAATTAAAACAGAGGGTAATATTTCAACATCTTTTATTATCGACAAATAAATGTTATTTATCAATTTGAACGGTTTCAGAATATTGAAAATCTCTGTTGACGACTTATGACATTTGTGCAGTGCAATAATAGCAATGTGGTTCTTTTTAATACTCCACTTTGTGTTAACTGTTGAATTGATTGGATTTGAACGAGACATATTTTCTTTCTGAAAGTCCATTTAACTAGCAGAACAACGAGCTACCGAGTTTCAGAATTTCATACAGTAGAATCATTTTGTTTCGTGGAACGGAACTTGTACTACAAAGTTCTTCCTAGGAGTCTCGAATATTTTTAGAATTTAATTTAGCAAAAATTGCCAATACGAATTTCTCATCTTTTTCTCTAATTCTTTATCAACATTTCATTAATTAAAGAGTACTTAAATTTGTTGATATGCAACAACACGTTTGTTTTAGTCACGAGAAGGCTGGTTTAAAAGGCAGGTTTACGTTGGCAAACTTGAAAGTTACAGAAAGAAGACTTTCTACGCGTCTGAACATCTCGTTGCCCCCATCTCTTTCTCTCTCTCTCTTTCTACCCTTTTATCCGCCTGTTTGCTCTCGCTGGTAAACACTCTTGAATACACAGCTTTATTTTATTACGTAGCACACCTTTGAATAAATTAAAATCAACGGAATTAAAGTGTTCCGCCGCTTTGCGACAAAAGAGCAATCGAATCTCCGAGCATCTTGCGCTTCGAATATCTATCACAGTTTTCCTTTCACTTCTTGCTTCTGCTTATCGAGGGAAGCTTCATCAACTTCACCGGAGTTCGTTCAATTTTTCACGCTTTATTGAATTTCAAACTTATTCGAAGAAGTAGGTGTTGGTTTTACTACGTTCAGTTTGAAAATAGAAACATCTGTTCTTTGGAATCCAGTGGAACTCGAAGGGAAGTACATATTATCGTTAGAGGAGCTACCAACTTGGAATTTCCACAAGAAAACTAATAACCAAGAGTTCTGAATTTGATTTCTAACTTAAACAAACTTCAAAATTTCTTCTGTTGTGCTGAAAATTTGATACTTGACGTTCTCGAATATTTAACGTTTAAAGAGACCAAAAGATTCTCTTCCCAATTATTCCAAATTCTCATCAATTAAAAAAATTCGCTTCCAATGTTAGCAAAAAAAAGTTGCACAGTAGTTAGCGTTTAAAAATGAAATTAAAAAGTTCTCTTCTAAATTATACCAGACTCTCTTCCAATATTACTAAAAAAAATTGCACAGTAACGTTTGCAGAAAACAAACAATTCTCTTCCTAATTATTCCAAATTTCCATCTATTAAAAAAATTCGCTTCCAATATTAGCAAAAAAAAGTTGCACAGTAGTTAGCGATTAAAAAAGAAATTAAAAAGTTCTTTTCTAAATTATTCCAGACTCTCTTCCAATATTACTAAAAAAAATTGCATAGTAATGTTTATAGGAAAGAAACTATTCTCAATATTAATAAAAACATTGCATAGTAACATTTCTAGGAACCCAAAAATTCTCTTTCATATTATTCCAGATTCTCTTTCAATATTAACAAAAAAGTTGCACAGTAACGCTTAAAGGAAACAAAAGATTTTCTTCCAAATTGTTCCAAACTCTCTTCTACAAAACATTTTCTTCCAATGTTAACAAAATACTTGCTCGACAACGCTTAAAGGAACCAAAAGACTCTCTTCCAAATTATTCCACGTTCTCTTTGAATATCAATCAAAGGATTGCACGGTAACGCTTAAACGAATCAAAAAATTTTATACCGTATTATTCCAGAATTCTCTCTGTTATTATCTCATAACGACGATGCCTTGTTTTGAAAAATCTCCATTCGTTATTCAAGTCCCGAAATCGATATCCTGGGCGGTGAGACTTCTCGGATGAATAACTCACCAAGAGGAACGCACCAAAATCGATACATACCTGAAGAATCCCACGTATCTGTCCGCTCTTGGTCTCGACGATGCGCGAAGCGTAGCGGACCTGTGTAGCAGCACGGGATCCCTCGCGGCCGATCAACACGAGGATGGCAATCAGCAGGAGGCAGCTGCTCGATCTGCTCAAGGACCTCGTGGCCAGCGGCCTCTTCTTGGCCGCCGGCTGGCATGGCAAGAGCATGACAGCATTTGCTGGCGGCCACTCGAAGCGACGCCAGCAGCATAACCGTGGAACGCGACTTCAGCCACGGCTTCGAAGCTCTGCCGGGTACTCACCAAGATTACCTTCGCAAAAACTGAAATTCAAAGGAATGAACGGTTATATCGGGTTTCTTTTTCGTTTTTTCGTCCGAGGTTTAGTTTTCGAGAGAATCGAGTTTGAAAATCCACCTTGTGTGTACGTAGACGAAGCTAAGATTTACCGTGCGACGTATAACGCGTATCGTGTTTTTAAGCAATGTGTATAGCAGGCATGGGCAACCATTCCTAGTCCCCGAGTCAAGGGCCGGACCAAATTATTAAATAAAATAAATTAATATTAAATGAATTAAAACAAGTTGCTACTTCATATTTCATTTATTTAGAATATCATACTTTGGTATAAAGCTCTACATAAATTTTATAATACATATAATGAACGATATAACAATTTAATGTGAAGATTGAAGATAAACTTCGCTGAAATAGATTAGGGCCGGGGGTTGCTCATATGTGGTCTACACGGTATTTAAAAGCTACCGAGTACAAGGAATTACAAAGAAAAATTTTGAATGAACCAAATTTTATTTTATTAACGGTAAGTCGTACCTTAGCCGTAACAGTATACGTACGCAGCGGATTTTCAAACTCGATATTCCCGAAAACTAAGCCGGAAATGAACAAATTAATTCTATATTTTCGTCTTATTTTTTTTTATAAGGAATCATCTCATGCAAGACCCTGTATATCGATCGTCCGAAAGTCACTTTTAACCCTTGTACTGAAATTGGGTCAATTGGTGAAATTGGGACCCAAAAATGAAGCCACAAATTCTTTTTTCGCAATTTTAAATGTAGCATTTGGACAGAAATTTGTTCATATCCTTAAATATTTAATAAACATTAGTGGCGGAAAGCGGGGTAATTCCGGTTTAATTTCTTAAAATAAAAAACGCGTGATTTGACTCTGTATGGTACTGTCACTTGTTAATCATACGGCTAGTTAAGATTCATCGTTTCTATGACTGTAGCAGTCTTTTATTTTAAACAAATCCCTGAGTGGTCATTTTGCAACGTAGCCCTATAACAGTGGTCAATATTTAAGCAAGATAAGTTAGTACTTGGAATCGACATAAATTATTAATATTAATGTAATTAAATAGACAAATGTTTCTACTTTCAAACTCACATGTTGTTTTTGGTGACATATAAATCCAATTCAGTGTATTACTTCAAATATTTGAACATGCGGTGTGTAATTCCAGTCAGCTCTTAACAATGCAAAGAATTAAAAAAAGTAGTATATATTTACATTACATTTACAGTAGTTATCATTTTTGTCATGTTTACATTATTTTAAGTTATAGTTTTCCAATTTAAAATATTTTTAGATTCTAATGTTGCTACAAAAATTGGAAGAGAACCAGATATGTATTCCAACAGATAAAGAAATCCAGTTAGTAGAAAGAGTGAAACTACTGTTTTAATTTTGAAACAAAAAATAATAAACTTTTTTATTAATTTGACAGTTTTCTTATCTCTTTTATAAGGAAAAATCATGACGGTCAAATGACCTCTGTTCCGTCGCGCAGGTACGGAACGCATGGGATCTTCGTTGACCGGGTTTATGGCACGCTCGCACGAGAAGTTTATTTTTGAGAACAAAGACGCTTCGTAGCTCCGCGAAAAATAAGTAATTTCTTACAGAACAATGCCTTTAGAATTTCGACTTTTCCGCGTCCTCAATAACCGAAGGCGTATCATAAACCAGGTATTACTGAAGGGTCAATCCATACGCGCGTATAACGGCACTTTCGGCCGAGGGTTGACCTGGCGGGAATTTCCGACGCGTCACCGAAGGACAACGAAGATTCCACGCACCCGCAGGTAGGGCCCCACTCCTTACAAGGAAGAGCGCGCTAAGGGCGCAGTGGAAGGGTGGGTGACACTCAAGGGGCACGTTGATTGGTAATTTGTGCGTACGTGAAAAACCAATCAGCGTGCCTTTTGGCACTTGGCGGGGGAGTCACTTCGGACTCCAGAAAAATTCGGGAATCGAGCGAGAGATTCAGAAAAGGTTCTATCGAGCGAACACAACTAGATCTCCAGCCGTTCGAGGAGACACAACCATTCGCAAAGATTCTCTCGTGTGAACAAGATACTCTCTCCAGCCGTTCAAGTACAATTCGAGTCTTTGAAACAAAGTCGTCAATCGTTCGTGACGCACTCTACGTTTTGCTAACGTTCGAGCAAAATAGATTTTGAACTAGTTACCCAAGATTAATTTGGCGGGTAACAGTCGCGACCGCGAGCTTCCTTTTGAACATCGCAAAAGAACGCGACGCGACAACCTCTTTTCATTTTAAGTTTCCAATTTTATTACAACCTAAATTTATGCCTTTTCGGCCATATTAATACAAACTAGACACTTGAAGCTATCAATTAATATAAAAAAACTAACGAACGTGTAACTTGTTCAAATTTCATAGCATTTCTTGCTTATGTAGCCGGAATTACCCCGCTTTCCGATTATATTTTTCATTCACGCTTATGGAATTTATGGACCAATTTGATTTAATATTTTACGTAGTAAATGGCTTTGATCCACTTTTGCTATACTTGTTTCATCGCATATTCTTTTGTCACGAACGCTATATGCCCTTTTGTTTTCCGTAATATGTATAACAATGCCCGTAATGAAAAATTACGTAGAGCACCTATCATTCGGTTTTCAAAGGAAAACCTTTTGTAGTATTGTATACGGCAAAGGGTTTTAGCACCTGGAGAAAAATTTGATTCACCTGGCGTGAATTGTGTAATGCGATTGGATAAACTAGTTTACTAGCTTCTATTTTCAGCAATGCGGGGATTCGTGATGAAAAAGTTAGGTTTGAGTTTTTCTCAGGATTTGAGGGATCCCTTCCAATGGTTTTAGCAACACGAAGAAGATGCGAGAGTGATTTCTTTTATTCCAGTTAGGATGAACCTAGCGTAATGTGATTCGTTTTACCAAAAGTGAGAGCTCCTAATGGAAAAGTTACTTCTAGCTTTCTTTGGCCTTTAAAGTGTCTTGTATCTTTCAGTACGTGGTCAATAGCTTTATTAATAAGAAGAAAATACGTTTTACTCTTCTTTCCAATTTGTGTCTTATTAATTTTTCATCGTTTTCGTTAGTAAATGTTTTTTTTTCTGTTAAATAATTTTGCATGGACAAACAGCACCAAACTGTACATTTGAAGGAAGCTAAAATTTCAAACAAAATATTCCTCAATTCCTCGATGCTTCTATACGTTTCATAATTCCAAGAAGATTGTCTCGAAATGTACCTCGAAGCTTTCAACAGAAGCAACGTTCTAGTATATTCTCAATCAGCGCAGCACAGGGTCGTTTCGTAGGCCATGCAACGCTCTGCACCGACGAATCGCCGCGTAACTTCGTTATGCAAAACGTCTAGGTAGAGCGAAAGAGGGAGAGGAAGAGTGGTTGCAGCTCGCGTGGCCCGCGGCGAGACCCGGCCAGCCGCTCCTTTTCTCCTACTTCTGGACTCCTTTCCCTCCTTTCGGCTGTGCAAGTTAAATTGCACTCAAAACATCCCTCGAACGGCGGGGAACAACACCAGCCAGCCTGAATACCGTCTTTTCCGCTTCCATGAGAGTTTCGCGGCTCTGTAATGCTGGTCTGCGTTCCTGAATCGCTGAGACCGACCACCGATCTGAAACCAACAGAGAGAGAGAGAGAGCCAGCGTTAGTTCTGGCGGTTTTACGCGGTGAAAGAGGGGCAGAAATTGTGGAAAACGCTAGCCAAGGGTGGAACAAGGAGGATAGGAAGCTTGATCAGGGGGATAGCCTGAAGGGAGGCAAGTTTTCTCGGTGCAACGAGTACCTAGCTGGGCTCTCCTCTCCACCACCGTCCCACACTAATTTGTTTTCGAATTATTTGCGCTTATTATGCAAATTGAAACTGACAGAATTTTGTCGAATTCAATTGTAACCGCACAAGAGTGACACTTGTCCGAGATATTAGATCATCTTGAAAGTTCCCGCAGTTCGAAAGCGCCCATTTTGAAAAAAAAGAGGAAAAAACATAACACCAATGAAAGTAAACATTTTTTTCCAGTGTAAACTAGGTTTGGATCGGGTAGATTCATTTGCGTCTTTCTTTCACTTAGAGATTCAGATTTTTATGCACTCGGAATTAATGCTTTTGTAATACATTGGCATCGATCACTATGGAAATTATTTTAAATAAAAATGTTTCATTTCAGCGGAGTTATGTTTTCTCAAAATCAGTTGAAACCGCGGGAACTTTCAAGATAACCTAATATAACAAGTGAAATAAATGAATTCGTAAGAAATGGGTAGGTAGATTTTGATTAAATTTCTTTCTTGTACTACAAAGATTTTACATTAATTTTTTCATTATTTTAGTATAGGAGGAAAGGATAGAAACGATGGATAACGTTAGCCAAGGGTAAAACAAGAAGGATAGGGAGCTTGATCAGAGATATAGCCCGAGGGGAAGCAAGTTTCCTCGGTGCAATCAGTGCTTAGCCGCGCTCCTCTCTCGACCACCATCCCCTAAACAGACGATACACCACCTCTGACTAACAGTGGTACGTTCTTTCTCGCTGTTTTCTGTTTTTCTTGCCAGTTTCCCTCCGCCGGACAATTTGAGGGCCTGGGATAACGCGTGCCACGATTTTCAATAGATGTCGAGGCTGCCCTAGTTGATCTGCTCAAGAACCTCGTGGCCAGCGGCCTCCTCTTGGCCGCTGGCTGACATGGCAAGAGCATGACAGCATTTGCTGGTGGCCACTCGAAGCGATGCTAGCAGTATAACCAGTGCATAAAGGACGGGATATTCTCCGTTGGCGTAGAAGAGTGTTGACTTAATAGCGTTTTGGTATGGCGTACGTGTAGGCTGGTGTACAAGTGTAGGCAAGTTTTCGCGTGGCCCGGATAAATCTTTAAGGCGGACAATCTG